GAATATTGGGTCGGAGGGTCTACAGGTACCCGCTTAAGAGTATCTTTGTAATTCGGACCCGACTCGAAAACCCGTAAAAATAACGGGTCGATTATCCGGGTTGCAAAATCGGATATTGATCTCTAAAATACCTGATAATTTTATACTAGATCGCGGGTCAACGGGTCGGATAAATCAAATCGAGTATTTTTGAAGACCTCTGCTTACCACAATTTCCAAGCTTCAAGATCACACTGCCTGTAAGGAATTTAACAGATACTATGAATTATAATGTACAGGCAGTGTGATCTTGAAGTGCTACTGTTAACTTCTTTAAAAATATAATGTACCCAAAAAAAAATTGTAAATTGATTTGAGACTTGAGTGCGGTAGCCGGTAGTGGTTTGCATCTTGGTCAGGTAAAGCTAAAGGATGAGGCTTCTCTCTTATCTTTCAGGCTTAATTAAAAACTACACCTTGAATGTTTCATAAAAGGTGATCCATTTATTATAAAAGACATATTTGAATGACCTTGTGTAACCTCACAGACCGATAAGGGTAACCAGATCCGATCTGATGTGTCACATTTGGGTCACCGGAGCGACCCACTGTAAAAATAGCATAAAACTTTAAAACTTTTATTGAAACGTGTAACTTATAAAATCAGTCACTATTTAAAAATAAAACACATTTCCAGACTCGTATATAAATCAAATACAATTACATGCCCCCTAATCACATGTACCACTCTGCAACAACGCCGGAAGAACTCCCTTACTGAAGTCGATAGATGCACTAGTACAATTCTTTTAACCTGAAAAGGTGAGTAATAAAGTGAGCTTCGAAAAGCTCAGTAATACAGAACTACCAGATGATGCTGAAGAACGTGCAGATACAAAAATAACATACATATCCTTATTATTTGAACATTTATAGATTTTATGCTGAGCAGAGATCCTACTGATATTTCAGATGGTAACGGACAATGACTTTCAGTTTAGACAAAATTTCGGATGACTGAGTTCAGGAGATCAGAATAGGTTATCTAGTGTGTTCCCATAAAACCAGTAAAAAGATACAGATCTTTTAAAACATATATATATATATATATATATATACCCCATCCGTCATATACAAAATGTGTAGGTTCCCCAGAACCATACAACCCTGTCACATCCAATAAGGCCCTGAGCACACAGCCGAGGAACCAGTAAGTAAGGCCCTGAGCACACAGCCAAGGAACCTCCAAGTATTCTTCCTCCAACATTAACCCCCAAAATAAAACATGTTCCGTCCGTAAACGAATATATCAAAAATCAAATCATAATTCACGTCAAGTATCATATCAAAATCCAAGTCAGTATCAGATCAAAATCCAAGTCAAGTATCAGATCAGAATCCATGTAAGATATCATATCAGAATCCATGTCAAGTATCAGATCAGAATCCATGTCAAGTATCAGATCAAAAATCAAATCGAAAATCAAGTAAAATATTCATATGAGTAGGGAACACACCAGAATTTACAGATAATATTCAAAGATATTGGATAATTAACAAGTAGAGGAACACGGATCTTCAGTATATCGATAGAATAACGGAATTCAGAATCATATTGGAAGAGTTCAATAACTGACAGAATCATCAGTTATTCAGAATGTGACTTGAGCTGATAAGGAAGAAATGAAGGTTCAGGACATTTTATTCTATTTCGATTGATCAGATTATCGGACAACTCTTAGGTGAATAGTTCCCAGAACTAATGCATGTCGATTGGTCAATTCATTATTCTTCCAGGTATTTACTCTTTAATACCACAAATTCTTGTCCATAGACCATTTCGGAATCATCGCTAAATAAATCTTCCAATGTCTTTATTTCATTTCCACGCTTCCCAATATCATGTAATGCTGACGTACTTGATTATTTTAATCATAAACCATCGTAATTGTACACTATGTAAACTCATCAGAGTTTCCAGACTTATCCAAATCACTTACTAAATCCTCAGTCATTGAGTTTACCTAATTTATTTAATAGTCATGTCCATTCCCGTAATATTCGAGGGTTTTCAGGGTAATCTAGATGTTTCTGAATTTCGGACAAATACTGTACTTTTGTTCAATTCAATTTGGTCTTCGTGGTCGATTTGTCAACAAATATCAACTCCTTACTATTGAATGTGTTCTAGAGTTGAGCTGAGGTGAATACTTCCAAAACTATCATCGAGCCAAAACTTGAAAATACAAACATGCATTCAAGTGACATCTATGTCGTTCAGGTACTGATATAACACTAGCATTGGTTGCTCGACTTAATAGGTGATCCATAACTTTTAAGATCAGTACCACACCCATGTTTATTTGGATTCCTTAATTGATCCAACATCTACTTAGTCTAGGTCACAAGGGTTTTTTTGGTAATTTTGGTGTTCATTTATTCCATTCATTTCAGAGCTCGAGGATATCCAATCATTCCTGAGCTTGGTGGTATTCTTGGGTCATTTCTATTACAGGGGTATTTTGGTCATTTTAAGACTCAGTGTATTTTAATCATTTCTTCCATCTGATCTTACTATTAAATTCAATCTTATCATTTATTCAGTCCTTTCGAACAATCTGATAGCAGAATACCCCGATAATTATTCTTCAGGTATTTACTATTACTCGAATATTTTCGGGTCAAGTGCATTCTCAATTTACAAACGGAATATCATGAATTTTTCTGTACGAAGACAGGATCTTAACAATTAAATTCGTACTTAATCGAGTTAAGTACAAATCCTCAAGTACTTTCTCATTCAGGGTCAACTACTATTTACCTCTCAAGGACATTTCCGTAATTCTTAACCATATAATTTCAATATTATCTTTTAACGAAAATAATTATAATTTAGAGATTCTATGATCAATTGCTTTCTGAACATTCTCTTATCTTGAAATGATTCCTTAATAGAATTCTAATATCTTGCACAAAACCCTATAGGGTTTAAAAACCGGTTATCCGTATTTCGTAAGCAAAACCTAGCATTTCTAAACGTATGTAGTTTTATCATATCAATATCATTTCAGAGTTATTAAATAACTTCCAGGGACAATTCTGACATCTTACAACTTAAGGGTATTTTCGTAATTTTATCCACCAGAGTATTATCATAATTTCCCATCCAAATACCTTAACATTTAACCTTTGATGAAATAAAACTATAAGTTACAATCCATGTTGATTTCTTTATCACTAAGCACAGAACTTGTAATTAATTCTAACAATCCCTCATTTTCTTATAAAAATCATCTGAACCTAATCAATTACTAAAACCCTTTACCGTATTCAGATCAAGTGTAGAACTAATTAACTACACAAATGAGACCAACATTATCTTAATCATGCATTACCAATATTCACATGTTCCATAAAGCATAAAGAGATAGTAAAGTATTACCTCGATTTCCGTGCAATACTGATCGACCATAAAAAATTCCATTCGAACGCCTTTTATCTTCAATTCAACTTCCAATATTCCTCAGATACATATTAACATAAAATTATATCAGAAACGGAGCTTAATTGTGATAAACGGATCGAATCAGGTTATAAACAATGAAAAATAGCTTACCAGGTTCGATTTGGCGAAACGGACTTCGATTCAGATTCAAGACGTCGAAAGCATAAATATGACTTTTCGAAAATTCGGAATTTCCGGTCAAAATCAAAGTCAATGGGTTTGACTGGCAATTTCGAGGCTTCGGGTCTGAATTTCGAGAAGGACTGCGGAATCGGATTTGGAACGTTGAAAAATTTCAGGATAGTATACTCGGTCAAAGTCAAAGGTCGTTTAATGCCCAGTCAAATCCCGTCAAAGTTTAGTAACAGTGGTCAACGCCGGTCAACGGTCAACGGGTGGGGTCAGCGGGTGGTCAGCGGGTCGGGTCAACGGGTCGGGTGGTCAACGGGTCGGGTCGGTTGTGACCGGTCACACTGGCCAAAACAGTTCCAAAACGGTCAAACCGGGTCACTTCCTTCTCCACGCGTAGTGGGGGCACATGAACAGTGTTAAATTCCCGAAAAAATCCTAAAAATTATTTTGAGCGATTTCGAGATACTTACAAAGCTCGGTTCACAATTTTGAACGGCGGGGAGCTCAATTTCAATGAATGGAAACTTTGACCGCTTCACCTCCTCACGCGCCGCCGTCGACGGAGACCAAGGGTGACACCGACAGACTCAGAACGGAACAAGGAACACAATGATGCGGGAGGTGTCGTAAACGGATGACCCGATCGTCGTGAATCGATGAAAACAATTAAATCGAGTTATTACCGACGATACTTCCGACTGAAATTAACGACGAACGGCGTCGATTCACGACAAAAGCTTTAAGAGGTTTGTCCTCGCTCGACAACGAACACGATGGTGGTTTCGACTCGTCGATCGAAGGTCGGATGGCGACTAGATCAGAGTTCAAAGAAGAGTTGTTGGAGAGAGAAAACTGAAATTTTTTTCCAGAAACATACGTGAATATGTTATATCATCTCATAAATAAAAATGGTTAAACCAAGAGTTTAGCCACTGAACTTCCTGCACTTCATAAAACAGTTTACCAACTTTAAAATTTTACAATTAAACTCACTGTTTCCTTCAAAATACCAATTAATCTACCGATTTATAATTTCTTAATTTTAACCCCTAAATTAAAATGTTACACGTTGAATGCATTTATTCAATTTATTTATGAAGAATAGGATGGCTACTGTCAATATATCAGATAGAAACATAAAACCTAAGTAGAGAAAACAAACAGGAAGGTGAGCCTTAGCTTGTTCATTTTCTTGCCCGAACCAGACACCCATTCCCACATGCTTTTACACAAAGACCAAATAAGCCTGTAAATCTTTCTATTTCCAACTCAAAAACCTTCGTAAAAAAAAACACACCCAAACATACAAGAAACTTGCATAGATAGAGATAGAGAGACGGATAAATCTTCAGAGAGAAAGAAAGGTTTGTTTTTTTCGTTAAAAATGAAGCAGTCGTCGAAGCCCATATCCAGTCCGTGTCGGCCGGAGAAGTATCCGCCGCAATTGATGCGGTTTCTGAGAAGCAAAAGTTCAAGTAGAAGCAGGGGAGGTCACGTTCCAGTCCAATGTTCGTTAAAAGAAAGAACGCCGCCATTGAAACCCAAGAGCCATCTCCTAAGTCACTTGCATGGGTCAGGTTCATGTCAAACAAACCTTTCGAAATCCGGTCCCCCGCCCAACCGCCGCCGCAAGTGGATCGCCGATGCTCTGTTTTGCCATAATTTCACCGGGAAAGTCAAGGTTACACCCCAGGAGAAATGGGGAAGGTTCTTTTTCGGCTCTTGTAGAAAGCCCAACGCTAGAGAAGATTTATCGAAAATCCAAGGAACGAAATGAAGCTAAGATTTACATCTTCTTCTTGTTCATCGCCGCCGAAAATTGCTTCGTGTTTAACAAGTTGTCGGTCTGCCGTACAGATCTTCTTCTTTAGCTTATAGGTTTTGGGAGGCGCCTTTAGCCAGCCATGGAACAAATGAGGAAACAGAGCTAGAAAGCAGAGTATCTAAAGAGGAAGAAGAAGAAGAGAAACCCGAATCAGAAGAAGAGCCCATTTGTGAAAATTCGAATCATACTGAAGAAAACCCAGATTTTTGCAAAGAAATTGAAGAGAAAAATGAAAAAGAATGAAGAATCGAAAACAGAGAAAAATGGGGAACGTACGGCCTCTAATACTGACCGGTGTAAATCAGAACCGGCGAGAACAGAGACGAGAACGTTGGGTTTCACGTGATTCATTTTATTTCATTTCCTTTCTCTTTTTTTTTAATTAATTTTCTAAATATCTTTTCGCTATTTTAGGAAGAAGCTGTACTTTTCTCGAGCTTTACGAGAGAATCCGTATGGCTCTTAGGTAAAAAGGAAAAAAAAAGTTAGTAAATATTTACTATCGAAAATGAGATGGATATGGATGTTAATGGATTACATTGAATGGATAGCTTTATGTTGCAAAGAAATTAGGATCATTCATTCTTATTTGCAGATTGGATAAGAATCTTGGGGAGGAAATTTACAATTTCTTTAATTAAAAAATGGCATTAAATTTGTGATTTGAAACACAGGTTTGGGGCATATCTATCAACATTCACAGCCCATCAAATCCAATTTTTGCAATTATTGCAGTTGTCACATTGAAGCACGAAAATTGTTGGCCCCAAGTTCAAGTGGAAGGAAAAAGGGCAGAAGATTTTGGTGTTTCTGAAGAGCAGCCTTCACAAACCAGACATCTGCAGACTTCAGATCTGATCCATGATTACAGTATCTTGCCCTACGATTTGTTTGGTTGCCTACCTAGGTCAACTAAAACTACACTGATGGGTGGTTTTAGTTTTTCCCCCCAGACCAAAACAGGCCGTAGATTAATGTTCTGCGCCTTCTTCCCACAAATCTAATTCCCATGATGGATGGTTTAAGAGGAAGGGTAAACGATGGATGGTTTTTAAGAGGAAGGGTAAACGTGGTAGTATGTTTTTTTTAAAAAAGGTTATGGTATTTTCTAAATAGTAAAAGGAGTTATTTGATCACATTAGGTCAGACCTGGCTTGGAAAATTTTAAAAAAAGTCGGGCCTTAAAAGTGTATTTTTTCGTGCGACAAGGAGCTAAAGTAATAGCTTCAAACTCTGTAATTTCCGCCATTTTTGGTTAGTGTTATCTATTCATAGCTTATGATGAATGCAAAGTTGGAAAGTGTTCCGGCCATTGTTTCTCAAAAGTGGATAAGAGAATGTCTTATCGAACATTCTTGGTGTATCTAATTTGTGAAGTTATACTTGGAAGGATTGCTCCTTTGTGTTTTGTATGGTACCAATGTTGAGATATGCACATAGGACCTTTAGGAATCATTGCCTCTGGCCACCTGTCTGTAGAATGCTTTTTTAATATATAAAATAGATATGTTACGTATATTCTCGTTCGAATAAGATAATTATAATTTATATATCAATGCCCCATTATAATAGTATGATATATGCCCATGAGATATTTTATCCCTTTATATTTTTCTTATACTAGTGGAAGTAAGTGTTTTATATGTAGAACGAAGCAACATTTTCAAACCATGCATTTTCCCAAATACAGTTATTTGATGGTTCTCTTTGGATGGACAAGGCACCAGTAACGAACTTAAAAGATCATGTGGATTTGTGGAAGATGAGTTGCACACGAACAGCAATGGGACTTTGATTTTGCAACACATGCTTTCTGCCAGAAATGAGCTCTCTTTTGCCGTGATGGCCATGAGCTCCGTCAAGTGTTGCTCATCCGGGTCTCACCTCTCAGCCTGTCCTGGTCATGATCCATCCAAGGAAACCAGACCATCTGCCATGGGTCCCGGTGACTGCACCGCCCATTTCATGCCTAATAAAATTCCAAGAGCTAGCGAGCTCGTACATACTTAACCATGGATGCCATGCTGTGAAAATATGACGATACACTATATGTTATATTAAACTTACTTCTTCAAAGGCTTGCGTGATGTTCCACATTTCAGTGGTCTTCAATAATAGCCTGTTGTGTATACAGGAGTAAATGTATAAGATGCTTTCCTTTTTTAAGTACAAGGCTTTGCTCGGTTGGTGGAAATATGGAAATGATTATTTTTTGAGTGTGCTTGATGGGAAGAAAAGGGAAAAGAAAATAAGAAGATTATCATTTTCCATCATCATATGTAAAAACAAACCAAGTTTAAAAGTAAAAGAGGAGAGGAAATATAATTCTTCCAATTTTTCCATCCTTCCTACCAAAAAACAACTATAAAAAGGAAAAAAATAATTTTCCAATTTCTTTCCACTCCTAAACCAGCATAAAGACTGGCTTATGGGTAAAGTTCCTGAAGGTTTTTTTTTGATTCGGCATGCAAAGATCTGAAATTAGAACACTAGTACATGCCCTCTAAGCAGAAAAAGCCTATAAGGCACCACTGGGTACTACGATAACCCAAGGCTTTATCACTATTGCTTTATCAGCCAACAGTTCCCAAAGATTGAGGAAGAACCTAAATGCGTACTGAAACATGCAGATTAAACATTGGTGAAACAGATCATAATAGTAAATGCAACAGAATTTAAGACAAGTAAACCTGCACCAGACAAACCAGAAACAGTAATTCACTTCCTGATCTACCCAAATTTACAGTTTATGTTTGACTAAATTGTTAAGTTTAACTGATGTAACTCACTGGATACAAAACAGGAAGTTGGGAACAGTTTAAGATAGGGAGCTGAGGAAATCAGACAAAGTCCTACTCCCTGGTGCAGAGACTCCTTGCTTCAGCCTCTCTCTCTTCATCTTCTTCTTGGATACCAGCTTTCTTTTTCTAGGAGGAGATTTTTCTGTGCATAAGTGTAAAGTACATAGTTCCCTACAAGGAATATCAGCAGCAGCCCACAACAACCCAACAGCACTATCAATCCAGGGTTCAATCCTTTAGCTTCAGTTTCATAAATGATCTTGTTTCCCTATTACATCAGTGGAAACAAATTATCCTGTAGGTACAATTTGTATGATGCACAAGAAAAACACAAAAACAAACTAGCTGCTCGATTTCGGCTCCAGCTTGTAAGCATTGCAATGACAACGTGAGCATATGGTGAAAGTTCATTTTTTCATGGAAGGACAATTTATAAATGCATATGTTTTATGATGCACAAGAAAAACACAAAACAAACTAGCTGCTCGATTTTCGGCTCCAGCTTGTAACATTGCAAGGACAATGTGAGCATATGGAAAGTTCATTTTTTCATGGAAGGACAATTTATAAATGCATATGTTTTATTTTAAGAAATTAGTCCTACATATAAGTTGCTGACTTTCTATGGTTTATTGTTTATCTGATAGGATACTCACAAAATAAACAGAATCTACATCGCGAGCTAACATCAACTACACTCATAGAAGCATTGCTCTAAATATATTTATTATTCATTATAATAAGATTTAAGAGATTAAACCAGGTTTCTTTGAGACCTCAGAAATTTATCAGAGATGTTAATTCATAACCGAGATCATGAACACCTCACTCATGTTAGCAATCCATATTGTAATGGCATTGACATGCATACAAGATCATCGAATGTTATCGACATTTTACTGATGATGGACTAAGATAACATCTTTCAGATTTCATTTCCGTCACCTCCTCCCTTTCTTCGGAATACAAGAGGCCTATAGATTACAAAAACCCACTCCGAGTTGATTATTAAAACCCCACGTAAAGACGGACCAATATTCACGAAGTAGCAACCATTAAATGACTGTTAGGATTATTTTATCAATAGAATTAATATAAATAAAGCCTCAACCAATTATATCTCTCGGCAAATTGAATGCTTCAAAAACAAAACCTAAACAGACATTACTATATGCTATCATTACCAATCATTGCATTGAAAATGGATAAAAGCAACACTAATTATCAACAAGCAAAAGAGTCCCCTCTTTTTCTTCATGTATTGCAATTAAAAGACATAATATGCTTAAAGAAAGATCCAATCCAAAAGAAAATTTTGTATGTAATTAAGATTCAGCACTACAACATGATAAAAGAAAAGGAAAAAAGGTGATTAATTGGTAATTTACATGCAATGGAAAATGAATATCATCATCTTAATGTCTAATTAACGAAACAATCAACCTGCAATGGAAAATGACTATCATTATCTTAATATTTAATTAACAAAACACTCAACGTGCAAATAATAAAAATGAATTTTCTAACTCATACGAGACGATCAACATGCAAAATTCTTAAAACAAAAACGATATGAAATCAAACTTGAAGAGAATAACACAAGATCGGCATTATATCAAGTTCAGGAAGGGGATGAAAATCAGATCTCTAACTAGATGGACAAAATCGAATTGATTCAGAACGGATCTCGGAGAACAGCTATTCAAATCGAGATTTAAAGGATTCGAACAACAAAATAACACATATACCATTTCATAAAGGATAGAGAACCTTATCGGCGAAGTCGAACTATTTCCGACATGTCTCCGAACTCAACGGCGGAGCTCCCAACCCAACACTAATATGGAAGGAGAAAATTCCAGAAACGCGAGAAGACGAATAAGCGTAGTTTTGATTGTATTTATAACGGGACTGTTCGGATTTTGATTTTTCATGATTCGGATTCGGCTTCGGCTTCAGATTCAGCGTTGAAAGTTCAAACCCATTCATTCAGTCTAATGGATCCAACTATAAGATGGGCTTTTCTTCTAAGCTTTTCAATCCTATCTGTGTGTCTACAGACTACAGATTCGTAAGAGCAGGGCCATATTCTTGGAATGGTCCCTGTGCTTTACTTGAGTTGTGAAATGAATCTCTTTATTTTAATTAAGATTCATGGATCTGAAAATCTGAATCCAATGGTTGATTTTATTTTGATGGCCCTAGTTCCCAAAACCACCTACTTTCCATTTTTGGTACATCGTAGATTGGGGAGGGGATGGTTTCATTGTCTGATTGGAGAAAAATTTATTGAATTAAATAAATTAGAAATAAAAAAATATTCAATCGAATAGTGACACATGTCATCATCTGATCGAATGTTTAAATTTATTGAATTAAATTAAAATAAAGATTAAATTGATAAAATGTATAAGTAAAGAATACCAAATGTAAAATTTTATAAATTCTTTTAACTGCCGTAAAAAATTCACTAATGTAGCTTAATCAATACCACTTAGATAGTTAAGTGCATGTGCATTTAAATAATAAATGGTCTTATTGATGAAATCAATAGATTAGTGGTCAAATTGGAACTTCCCCCGTAATTAAGTGACTATTCAAGTACTTTGCCCTAAAAATCATGTCTTCATATGTCAAAAGTAAATGTAAGCTAATGGTTTATATGTTATTTAATTTTAAGTGAGGCTCATTTCACAAGATGACCAAAGTACACACACTATTTGTAGAATGTTGACCTAAGAACAACATAACAAAGAAAAGGCTTTGCCTTGGTCCATAGATAAGTTTATTGCAATACAAATACAATTTACGTGCAAGTTGCAAGCATATTGTATTCCCATTTCATTTTTAACATTTGTAACATTATCACTGTTCACGTAACGACAATCCTTTCTTATCTCGCCATTATCTCCCGTAAGTGGATTATTCTCCGACAACAACATCGCAGCTCTGGCAAACTGGTCGTGGAAATATCCATTATCAGCCGCCATTTTCTCCACAATGTTGAAGTAGTTGGATCAGATGTCAGTTGCTGGTCGATCATCAGCAACCCCTTGTGCTTCAACAAGTTCTTGTAGTACATGTTGTCGAGAGTCATCGGCGTTTTCGAGGCGTTCCTCGCGTACAACACTGCCTTCGGATTGGGGTCGGGTGTCGGACACCTCCCTTTAAGGTACTCGGCATAGTTGGGGTCCAATGTCGGATCAACTGTGGGTAGAGCTGTGTACTAAGTTTACACAATGAACTCGACCGACGGAGTGAGCTCCTAACAAAGCTACCGTTCCTTCGGTATCGATACCGGTCGATTGAAAGCGAGAAAGCACCGACTGTATCGAATCATTGTGGTTTGGGATGCTATTTTCGCCTCCGAAAGGTAACTTTCCTTGCTATCTTTCCGACCAGTTTTTCATTTCAATGCGTGGCCCTCCGAGCTGTAACACGAGGTAGGTGTAAACGTTTGATAAAACAGTTTATGTTGATTTTTCTTTGTAGTGAAAATTTATACCAAGACATGCCATCTCTAGCAGAAATAGAGATGATATCAGCGCAAGAAACCGTCATTGGACATTCTTCCTCAAGAGCTTCTTTAATTGTCTTAACGTACTTGAAATTTCGCATCCCGAAACTCCGATCCGATTTTTGTTCCGATTCGATTCCGTTCACGGTCTCTAACAACAGCGAAGCGTCACATGACTGCATCAACACAACAGTTTTGTCATGCCTCGAATACTCTGCATTTTCTTTGAAGTATCTATTTATGTACGTTATGTACGACTCATATTCGAACCTAAATATATAAGCATAATTCTTCATACATAGAAAAGAGCAGTAACATAGTAGATATATACCTTAACTACGCAGTCATGGAAGAGATTTCGAACCCAAGAAACAGCTGTATTTCCATGTTTGTTATAGAGCTTGATGACTTGTTGTTTGATGATTTCTTCGGCATTTGGACAACTTTGAGCATAGTAGCTCAACTGGAGCTCACTTTTGGCTGCAAAGAAAGATAAAGACTAATTTAATTGTCCTCCACCATGGAATTAAAATATTACCGGGTTATATGGATAGTAGTAGTCTATACTCTAATACATCTTGAGATGTATTAATCTATGGGCTCCATCATGCCTAAGGTAAGCTCATAGTTGGTGGCATTGCAACTATAACTGTAATGATTTCTGACGCATATAGTTAATGTGACATTTCTCGTGTATTTAACTATTAACATATTTCATTATCATCTTGAGTGGCGTGATATATATACATTATTATCTTAAATGATGTGAAATATATATCATAATTGAGTGACAAGATAGTGTCACGTTAATAATTCAGTACATGTGAAATCTCATATCAACAAAAGACGTTGATAGTTAGTTAACTAACGTTTTTCGTCTGACATGAGATTAAAATACTTTTTAGAAAAAAAAATTAAAATAACTATTTAAACAAAGGTTAGAGTTAATTGTACCAGTAAACCTTTTAAATACTTTTAAATATTTGATAAAGGAATTTTATCATTTTTATGACTACCCAATTTGAGGAGATTAATGAAACACCAATGGTTTGAAAGGGAAGAAAACATTGAAATGAAATGAAAGAGCAAGTACCAAAATAAACTGGAGGAGCAATGGAAATAACAGAAAGATAAAGGTGGTGCAGCAAGGGTGGTTCTTCATAGCCATCGATGATCTTTATGTATATAGGTAGTGTTGCCTTAATCTTTGGGGTGATACAACTGAAGGACTGTCCCCTTATATAGCAGAGTTTTATAAGCAGGAAAATGTAAAAAAAAAAAAAAAAATTGAAAAAGAAAAGAAAGTGAAGCTCCTCAATCTGCATGCCTCCACTACGCTGCTTTCTTTGACCTTTCGGCCGCTTCTCTCTTCCGCACGCGGCCGCCCCCACTATGAAGAAGCATTCTGTTTTGGATTCAGATAATATTCAATATTAAAGGGAAGAGGAAAGAGATTGTCACGCATAGATGGTTTCGTACAATTTTCATGTTTGCTTATTCATCTCAATATGGAATAGGATGAATATTCGATGAAATAATTTTTTTTGAAATAAAATATTCGATCAAATAAAGACAAGCAAAGTCGAAAGAATTTGAGTTAACCCATAAGTTTTATTTTATAATTTAAATTATATTTAATTGTTTTAGTCGAGTTTATGAAATTGGAGTCAAATCAAGTTATTCAAATTTATATTTAAATTTAATTAGAAATAATTATAATAGTTTGATATTAATCAAATTGAGACATTCGACCCAAACTTCAAAATTAATCTATTAATTATTAAAATATTCATATTTTTTGAATTATTCGAATCTTGTTATTTTCGAGTCAAATTTATATTCAAATCAATTGAATTAATTTTTTCAAACGTTGAATCGAATAAAAAATTATTATTTTTAATTAATTCGAGTTTTACTCCCCTAATAAAATGTTCAGTGTAAAATATCAGCCTCCGAGTATGGAGTCCAATGTCACCCTCATTCACTAAAGTTTAGTGGCATCTGCTCTTGTATCGGATAGAAATTAGTTGGGCCACTATAAAACGAAAAAAACCTATGTGGTTTAACTTAAGAGAGAGAAATAATGGTTTCCAAGTGATTAGTGGGAGACTAGAAAATAATTAGTTAAAGGAGTGGTTCATATTAATAGAGAGAATTTTGTGATTTTTCTCCATATTTTTTTAGTTTCAACTTCATATAAATGTCACATAATCAGTTGCTAATTAATTTGTTAGCTTATGATTTTAAGTTGATGGGATATGAAGATTTGTCAAGTGGATATTGTAACACCTCAAATCCCGGGTTAGAAGTTCGGGTTAACCCGAGATGGTCTAGTCGAGCCCAAGAACCTTGTAAGAGAGCTAAACCCAATTGGACTGTGGGTTGGGCTTGGTTGAGCCCAATTGATATGGAAAAAGGGCATTTTTAATCTTAGGATGAAAGATGAAGGACTAAAAAAGCAATTAGACCAATATTTAAAACAAAAGATGAAGTCCTTTTATGGGAGATGATCTCATGCCTGATTTTCTCTTTTTCACCACACTCATCTTTGTCTTCTTCCTTTCTTCTTCATCTCCTCATTTCTCTCCAAGAACTAAGCAAAGGTCAAAACTTTGTAGTCCTACAAGCTTTATCATAGTTTTCAAAGGTAATAATCTTCATCTCTATCTTTAGAGCTTCAAATTAAGCCTCCCAACTCAAGGTTTGAGCCATTGTAGCCATAGATGGGTTTTAGTGGGGTTTAGAGACCCAAAAGATTTTAATATGTTTTTGGGAGATTGGAACCTTAGAGAGTGTTCTTAATCCCTCCACGAGCTTCCAAAACGAGATAGTAATCCACTTTCTTATTATTGTTTAGTGAAGGAAGTGAGAGAAAACTCCAATGCTAAGGGAAAGGAGAAATTGACCCTTGGTTGATTTGAGAGAGTCTCTAGCAAGAAAACCAAGGTAACACATTCACAATTCTTTCATACCACTTGTTGGTCATTAGAATGCATCTAGCTAGATATGTCTTGTGTTGAAAAGCATAAATGAGAATTCATGGTAGATTCAAGTAATTGGTGCTTTTAGCAGGTTTAAAGACCTATTATGATAATCTCTTACATACATAAAACTTTAAGAATGTTTGGGAACCTTAGTAGGGCATTGGGGAGGCTTTCGAAGTCAATTTCGTTCCCAAATAGAGTATTTCTGAGTTCGAGTATCGATACTAGAAGAATAGTACTGATACTGTTAATCAAGATAACTTAAAAATAAGGGAGTTTAGGAAGAGCAATATCGATATTGTTGGTATGGTTTTGATACTCACAGGGTGGTATCGATACCGAGCAAACTTAGCAAATTCTAGTAGGTTATTTTGGTATCGTTACTCATAGGAGT